GAAGTTGCGTACCTTAGTTCGATTTGGGGGTTTAGTGTAGACCAAGCCTTGGCGTACATTGCATGTCACAGATTCTGTAAGTCAGTACTTTACAGCTAATGCAGCTATAGACAGAATTGGATTATACTGTGGCGCACAGATCAACTGAATTGTCAACTAAATTCCAGTAATTTATATCACTGATAAAACATTCTGATCAGGATGTTAGAGAAAAAAAAAGTCACGGAATCCCATTTACCAGAGTCACCCATCAGAGCATAAGTACATTCTAAAGTAGGCTAGAAACTAGTTTGCACTGACATTGAGCTCCTGTAACTGACAAGATCATTATTATTATTAATAAAAAATTCCAAACAGCCTGGAGGCTACCAGCAGGAGGTTCCAAAGTAAACTTTATAATTTAAAATTGTATTTTCAGAACGTAATTGTGGCAAAAAGTGCTTCTGACCATATAAATTTTCAGATTAATAAATTAAGCAAAGTGGGTGCCATTTTCTGGTAACAATAGCAAGAGAATAAGAGGGAGAGAATGTAATGTTACCTTATGTTAACAGCCTGACCAATATTAGTCATAGCTGAAGTCATTATTTCTGTAGTAAGGCTTTCAGCAAAGCTGACTCCACCATGTCCAATACCACTATCAGCTGTCAGACTTGTGTTGCTCAGCTCTCTCTCTGCTTTCTCAATAGCTGCACCAACCACCTTCTCAGAAAATACTGTCTTCTGTTCCATGTCAATGTGAATTTTGGGAATATCAAGGTGAAAAATTCTTGATTTTTGACAGACACCACCCAACCCTGAATTGGGGATCTGCCTGATTCTAGGGAGGGGTTCTTGTCCAGGCAGATGTGGAGATGAACTTCCAGTACAATACTGATATTCCTTCATACTACAGTATCTGCAGGCCGTTCCAGAAAATGGAGACAACTTTTCTGTGTAAGTGAATCTATCCCCATTTTTCCTGTTTTCAGCAGCTTGGAGAACAGCAGACTCCAAACTCATTTCTAAGGTGTCATCCACTACTTTTCTAGCATACTCTTCTATAGCTTGAATGATGCCTTCTCGGTAGCCATATTCATTTAAATTGCCTGTGCTATGATACAGTTTATGTTTTTGTGAGAAAGGAAGAACTGTTTTAGAAAGTGTTGTTTTAAGGCGGTCCCCTGTGGCTTCATCAAATTTAGATTTTCTATACAGACAGGAATCTGTTAAGGATTTTGGCAAGCAAACTGCTGACATTTTCAGTTTTCTTCTGACATCACATGTTATACGATGAGCAAGGGATTCAGAAAAATGTAACAATTCTGTACCTTCAGTTCTGTGTACATTGTTTATTTCACAGGCTTGGCCTCCACACCTATGAACACCACTTTTCATTTGCCATTTTGTATCCATATCTTTGTTCAATATTTTGAACAGCTCAAGCCTACCATTTACCTGTGTGTTCTGTACAGGAAATATTCTTCTGTTGTATGTCAGTTTGATTTTCCTGGCAGCTTGTTGTAGGCCTGATTTTATAGATCTATAAGCAAGTCTACTAGCATACTGATCCATTATTAACTCACTGTTGCCACCTTCCCTTTTCAGAACTCGAATGATGTGATCTGCATATTCATCGGTCACGCTCTCACAGCTTGGATACCTGTAAGTCAGACCGGTTGTTCCTAAATTCTGAGGTAAAGAAAGTACGGATGAATCTACCTCTCTGGACCACTGGTTTACTACTGGACACCACCTCTCTTTTGACCTACAGTCTCTATCATCTTTTCTGAGAGAAAGACAATCTACATGACAGTTAACCCGCTTCAACCTCAGCAGCTTGCAATGCCTTGATTTTATCATCTTCTTAGCCTCACTGATAACCTTTCCAGCCATATCACCTGCATAATTCCACAACGAATGTAAAGTTTCTTCTGGGATATTTATAAAGGCAGTATACCCACATATTTTGTTTTGTGCATTTAATTGGCAGTGTTTGTCAGATTCTCTTTTAATTGTTTTATCATCTAAATGGGAAGCAGCCATTTCAGTTGCCATAGAAATGATATGACCAGCTAAATGATCAGCATACTGTACAGTTTTCTCTGAATGTTCAGTTTTCTCCACAAGCATTTCAGAGTGTTCTTCGTCTTCACTGCTTTCAACTTCTTCAGAAAGTGATCGCATGAGTTTCAGCATAAACTCTTCCTTTTCCAAGGAGTTATGTTCAGTTGCAGACAAGGCAGCAGCAGATGAGTTATAAGGTGTAGAAGGTGGTGTCGCAGGTGCAAACTCCTTTGCTAATTCTCCCTTGAGTTTCTTGGTTAGCTTCCTTAGGTTCCATTCAGAACTAGTCTGAGATGGTACTAAAGGAGTTGGTGGTGGTGTACCAGGTACTGCACAGACATTTCCATCTCTAATGCTTGATTTATCTTCCATCTGCAAAGAATCTTCACAGCCAAACATCACCAAAGAAAGGTTACTTGCACGTAGAAAACAGCTCTCCTGCCCAAAAGCTGAAGGAGCTAGCGTTGTTTCTTGCATATCATGTTTTTTCAATAGTTTACTTTGGGATTTTATTGAACAGCTTCCTGAATCAGTAAACTCTTCTACATTACACCTAGCGAGAGTCTCAGTAGGACAAGGCGGTGGAGTGCTTGAAGAAAACCTACGTACTTCATTTCCTTTACGTTCCTGAACACAATCTTTAGGCACTGAAAGTAAACACTGAGCAGAGTCAACTGACGTAACAAGAAAATTAGGTGGGTTATTCAGAGGCAGCTGTTGCGGTTCCACAATTATAGGAACAAATCTGTGTTTCTCAGATTCTTGTTTCTTTACTGCACTACGCAGTTCTTTTTTACAGTTATCTGTGTTTATCTGTAAGCCTCCATTACATTCTACAGTCTCGTGTGTGTGAGAGAATATTGATTTAGTTTCATCTACAGAATGTTTTACAATATACTTGGACAAATGATCAGCAAAAGTATTCTTAGGGATATCTCCACCAACACACTGACAACGAGGTGTTTTTCTAGTTACAAAATCTGTATATTCCTCCACTGTTTTGGTAACCCCGGATGAGGTTATTGCTTCATACGCCTCATTTACTATCATATCTACCATTGTTCCAGAGAAACTGTTGATGCTTGTTGGCCCAGTTGTTAAATCTGAAATATTATTCACTCCAGGATTGTTTGTTTGTTTGAAATCATTCTGGTTAAAAAAACATTGCGCACTACTTTCACTGTGATCTGCAGTCAGGTAAATATTTCTAAGAGAAGCCACTTCCTCTTCTCTCTTTTTTGTTGTAAAATATGGCTGTGTAGCGTCTTTGTACATTTTCAGACTGCCATCTGCTGTCGGACAAGTCCATACTTTTGCCTTATAAACATCAGATGAAGTCTGATGTTGACAAAGTGCTGTTCCAGCTAAGGGCACTGGTATTGAACTTACAACACCAGAAGTACAAAACAAGGCTTGTTGTACAGTATATTCTTTTCCAGTTTCTTGTATTGGATTCAATGCTAAAAGTGCATTATCATGAAAATTAGGAAAAGTAGTGGTAGTCTGTGTTGACTGCAATGTACTTTCTGCACTTACATATTTTATGTTGTCCATGGAAACACTAATTGCTGCTTTCGTTGTGAAGGTAACATCAACCTGGGACAATTCAATGAAAGCTTCCTGAATGACAGATTCAGACAAATCTTTGGCATATGATCTCACTACTTTGTCTTCATAATCAAAGGGCCAGTCCTGTGCAGTCGTTGGTGTTGATGGATGTGAAAACTGGCAGACTTCCATGATTCCCTCAAAAATAAGTTCCTCAGTGAGGTCTGCTGCAAATCTTGCAACTGTGTTAGTAAATATTTGTTTCTTTACGTATCGCATTTCTTTTAAAGCACTTGTTATAGCTTCACTGACCATAAAGCTTGCTAGTCCATTAATGGCACGTTCCTTCAGTGACAAGGCTCGCCGCCTTCCTATCTCATAAAAAGCCATTTGAAAGACTGAAGAAGTCAATCTAGCAGCCAAGTGACACAGTGCATTGGTGCATGAAGAAACTCCTTTTTGTAAGTCTTTAAATGCACTACCAAAACTTTTTTCAACCAGTTCTGTTGCAAATTTTTGTACGCTGTCTTTAATCATTAGTGATTTGTGTTTAGATTTAATTTTCTTATCTGGCTCCTTGTCAGAAGTTTTCCTCTGGAGTTCTGCGTTTTGACCTTTTCCCTCTTTTGAGACAATCCTATTAAGGCTGGAAATGTTTTCAGCATGTTTCTGTAGTGATGTAGACGGAGAAGGAAAAACAGAACCCAGTATTTCAAATGAAACACTGTTTGCATAATCTGAATATTCATTATAAAGTGCATCATGATTTTGATTAAGCCCATCTCCATAGATATCCATCCGACAAAGACATTCAGTTGAAGCACAGCTCCCTAGTGGGCTGAAAGCTGATGATCTTATAGGGCTGAACAAACTTCCATTGTCTTCTCCTGTTTTCACTGGCCGAGGGGAGTCTGGAACATCAAAGAGGCTGCTATAGGGCGATTCTGGTTTACGAGGAGTTGGCTTCCTTACATTGGCTGGAAGAGTGGGACGATCAAACTTGAATTTTTGAGGATTCATAGTAGTAGTTTTAGAATACAATTGTTCAAGGGCAAGCTTTCTCTTCTGGGGTGGATTACCAAGGATGGGATCCCTTATAAGTTTACAAGTACTTTCCAGAGTCTGTTCCAGTTCATCAAACTGATCAAAACTATCAAAAAATTCACTTACTTCTGAGTCTGAGTCCTCTATACCATCTTTCACTACTGGAATTTTTGGTAGCTGAAGTTTTGCCTTCAAGCTTTTTTGATACCCTTCCTCATCTAAGAAGATAACAGGGCTAGGGCTGGAGCAATCTGACTCAGATGATTCAGCAGGAGAGGAAGAAAACAATGTTTTATGCAAAACATTAACATGTTGATCAGAGGAATTACATGGCTTGTAAAAACTCCTCTGTATCCAAGGATCAGAAATAGAGGTTGTGACTGAATTCTTTACAGATGAAGACAGTTCTTTAAGTCCCAAGATATTTATCAGAGAAGCAGAAGATTTGGCAGATGATTTTCGACGCCCAGAGCTCACAATGATCTTTGAGTCAATAGCTTCTAAACAATGAGCAGGGATGGTCTGTGAAGCAGCATCCCGGTGATTCTTAGTAGTATAGGTTGTACCTAAAAAGAAAAAGAAAATACTTTAAAAACAAAAGAGACTAAAATAGCAAACTGGGTACTTGATTTTGATAGCAATATCTAGATTTGTAATTATTACAATAGCTTAGAGGGTCTTTTAAGACTAGAGAAAATTTTAAAGAATAAAGTATTCCATAAACACTTTATTTTGTCAATGATAGTTCCCCTACTACTGCAGGGGAAGTTCTGCCCTTCTTCTTAGCATATGCGCAATGTGCCTTAGGTGGCGCATGGCCAGGATTCTTCACGGAATTTGGTCCACTGGTTGGATCATTAGCTTCCCCAGCCCAGGCTGGGTACTGATGAGGAGTGTGAAGTGAATGGGACTAAGAGCTCTCGCCTTCATATCACAGATTCTACTTTTTCTGGATCTGACACTGAGTCAAAATCTTTGCTTTATGTCACATGCATGCTGATGTGGAAAGAATGGTGAAATCTCATTTTTTTTTTTTTAAATTAAAGGGGTCTTGTATGATGGCAACTGGCAAAAAATAATTCGATATGGGTTTCATGTAGTTTACCACAGCATAAAAATCTCTCTTTAGCCTAAATTGCAACAAACGAGCTCTGCAATCTATTTCAACGGGGCATGAAAACTAACCAGCATTTTGTATCTTTGAAGGTTCATCCTCATCTAAATGCTCAAAAGCAGTGACAAAATCATCCTCAATTGAAGACACCGACTGATTAGTGTCATCATCCTCTGCATGGGACATCTCTGTTTCATGTTTCTGTAATGAGTATACTTCCATTGTATATCTTACACCAGTAGCATATTTACTCAGTAAGGTAAATACAGAATCAACTTTGATCCTTGGGAACGAAGGAGACAAGCTCATCACACAAAGCACTCCAGAAAGGTGATTCTTGAGAAAGAAAAACAAGAAAACAAAACAGTGTTCTCAATAACACACTTTCATCTATAATGTAAACTTGGAATCATTTAAAATGGCAAGAACAACAAGAGCACAGGTCAAGGACATAAACTGTAGTGAAATTGCCACTAAAGACATTTGTTAATACTACTGTAATTTAAAAGGTATAACAATAATTTAAGTCTTCAATGCATATTACAAAGAAAACTCCATTTTACAGATGAGGAGAGTGAGGTAAAGAGGTTAAGTAATTTATCCAACATCACTAGAGCCAAGTTTGGAGACGGTTTAGAGGCCACTCTTATCCTCTAAGTCAGGGGTCGGCAACCTACGGCATGCGAGCCGATTTTGAGTGTCACGCTGCCTGCCCGGTGAGAGGAGGAGGAGGAGGGGCCGGAAAGCGCCACGCTGGGGGAAGAGGGAAGCTTGGCTGCCGCAGGACCAAGCTTCCCCCAGCGTGGTGCTTTCCTGCCCCTCCTCCTCCCCCTCCCTACTCCCTGCCGGCGACAGCCCTTGCGAGGGGGAGGGGGAGCGGAGCAGAGCCGAGCGGCAGCGTGCTCCCTGCTCCATAGAGGGGGCAGAGAGGGGTA